TCGTTGCAAAACAGTCTTGTTTATCTGTCTGTTTCACTTCATTAACTTTGCTAATGACAATACTACTTTAACAGGCGCTATCAAGAAATGCAAATGTCCTACCTTGAATGGCTGAGTGCTTGCCATCAATTTAGTGTCCAATAGTCTGTAAAACAGATTTTAGAGTTATAAATTCTGGAAAACATACAAGGGATGGCAGGCTTGAAATAAGATGGCTGCAATGAAGAATCAGCAGGAGCTTCCTAGGTTCAAATGTTCCATAAGAGGATTATAGCAATACTTTAACTGAGATCTCAGCTGCTTGTGGGCATCCATGGTTCTTCTGCCAGGGGAAATGGGGGGGGGGGGCCTCTTTGGACAGTTGGAGGGCCACTGAGAGAACAGACAACTGAACCGAACTGGCTTACCTTGGAAAGACGCATGTTGCTAGTTCTTTGAACTCCCTGAAATCCTGAAATTTAAAAGGAATCAGATTGTTGAGAGCAAAAGAGATAATGTAAACTGCATCAATGCAATACTAATTTATTTGAGAAAAGCAAATATTGCAATGCTAAAGAAAATATTACATGGATGTTACACTGAAGACGCCATCCAAACCATATGGGGTTTTCAAAATACAACAGGTGGTTGCCAGCTTAAGAGAACTCCAATTGGAAAGTTTTGGAAGTTAAGAAACCTATCAAGCTTCCAGGCAAAAGCAGAGGGAATGTCAAAGGGAAGCAGTCCCACTTTGGCTATCAACTACTGGGAGGAGCTGTTGACTTCCCGGACCAACTAGAGGCAGAGCATCTTTCTCACTGGACCCAGGACAGGTGCTGGTCCCCACCTTCCACCCAGGATGACCGGTCTATGTGTGCCCCAGACAGGTGAGTCTCTGCTGGACCGAGTAGGGAAGAGGTGACTTTCCTGCAAAGGACGCATTGAGGAAAAGCAGGTTTGAGTGCAAGGAAGGAACCACCAACCTCGGGGAGGGAGCAGTAGAACTGATGGATGGTGTGCATGACGTCCAGCAACATGTTGTGTCCGACCACCAGCTTGCCCTGTGGAGAAGCAACCCAGCCCAATGCTCAGGGAGAGGCAGAGCATGCTCTCCCTCACCACCACACTACGCTGGGTGTGAGAACGTCTGTCTGGCTAACTTCAGCTGCCGATGGCATGCCTACTTTCCCTTCAACGTACCGAATTTGCAAGGGCGTGAATGACTCTGGAAAACCCCACTGCATCCCTCAGCTCCTCCTACAAGTGAGAAGCCCAGGGTGAGTTCCTTTGCCCAGTTCAGCCCAGCCTTCCTGCGAATCAGCCTCCCTGACTGGAGCTGAGAGGCTGCCCCCAGCCCAGCAAGCCAGTCCCTGCCCGGCATCGGAGGCACCTGCCTGCTCTCTCGCTCGCTTCTCCTGCTCTCTTCTCTTGCGCTCCTCTTCATCCATTTTGCTGATGATCATGTATCGCTCCTTCTAAGAGCCACAAAGGTTAATGCAGGCACAAGCAAGCAAGAGCACAATGACCGAGCACTCCTACACAGCTTCATGCATCAAATTCCTGGGTGGAGGAGGAGGGAGAATCAATCTGACTTTCTCACATGGTTTTCCCCGCCTGGGAATCCTGCAAGTTCCCACCCCAACGTATCTGGAGGGCAGCAGCCCAGGAAGAGCAACTTTTAACATATTGCTCCTCAGCTGCAAGGTTCAGAAGCGGGAGGCAAATCCATGAGCCATCCCACCAGAGGTCTCTCTTTTGTAAGGGCCCCAGATCAGACCAGCAAAGGAGCAGCTGCCATCTGCCCGCCGGAACTCGCCTAGGGATGCCTGGAAAACCCCACAGCCCTACCAAGGTGGGAAATGGAAAATGCAGAACTAGTCACCTGTTCTGTTTCCACGGTTTCAACATGGATGCCTTTTGGATATCTATGATGAAATTAAAAATAAATAAGGATTAATAATAATCCTCCTTAGGTTTGCAGAAAAGAAATAAAGTGCCACATTTGGCAATAACACCAGAAACACAAGTATCAGTGTAAACTCCATGCTTGGTGCATTAAAAAAAAAAAAAAAAAAGAGACGCCCGAAAGGAAAGCAGGAGCTCTGCCTCAACACTGCCCAGGAGACGGGGAGCTTGCCCTCCAAGGAGTGCAGCACTCCCAGCTGTGGCTCCCCAGAGGCGGAGAAGGCTGCTTCAGCTACTTCTCCTTGTAGTAACCAGCACCACTCACTTCCAGCTCAGCGTCTGATAGATTAGTTTCCTCTGAAATCTACAAGAGAAGAAGAGAAAGTTGGTAAGGTTGCCATTTCCCCTCCTCTTGGCTGCCCAATCAGCCTCCTCTACGCAAAGCTCTGCCCAAGACCCAGAGGAACAAACCCAGTGCACGGCTCCAGCTGCACGGTGGTGTTTCCTTCATTTTGCAGGAGATCTTCTATCCTTTCTCTGAAAAGGGGAGAGAAGCAGAAGGTGCCTTCTTTCGGGTTGGCCTCTTCCCACCATGGGGAGGACCGTCTGCAAACAGCCCAGACAAGGCAGAACCATCGTCCCCCTGCTAGTGCACAATGGCCTGTGTTCTCCAACATGGGAGAGCTGGCAGGTTTTACTGTTTGCTGGATCCACACTGTGCACATTATCGCAAGTAACTATTTAAGTCAGTACTTTCCAAAATTCAAAGTAAATGGGGCAAGTGGGTAAAACAATGAGGACCAACATAACTGAATTTCCATAAATGTAGCATCAATGGACACTAAGCAAGCAAATGCCTCGTAACCATCTCTTCCTGAAGAGCCCCTGGTTGGCACCACACCTGCGAAAGCCCTGTCCCTTGTTAAAACCTCCATACCCTGATCGTGAGGGAGCCCAAAGCCCAAAGCAGGGCCTCTCTGGCTGAAAGTGCTCCAGAGAAGTGTGCTGAGGTGGTCAGCCTCCATCAGCCTCTCCACTGCATGAGACAAGCTGCAAATCTATTTCCAGTCTGGCAGACAGCAGCAGGAGGTGGCTCCTCTTCCTGGCCAAACTTTGTCTGACCCAGGAAATAATTGAAAACCTAAATGCAACAATTACCAGTGGTGTTCTGAGTCCCTCTCCAAGCACAGACTAAATATTCACTTACACAACTTTCTTGATGAACTCCTTCTGATCCTCAGGAACAGCCGATGGAGGCTTGGCAGCATCCAAGCCCCCAAGTCCATTGGCTTGACAGCGCTTCTCGTCATATTGCTCCCGTAATTGTCTTTCTTCTTCTTGATTTAAGTAAGGGATACCTTAACAACAGGGGAAGGTGGGGATGAGTGGGTGGAAGGGACTCAGGTGAAGTTCTGTTTTAAAACTGTTCCAATTTAAACATCTGGGCATCTAGTCATCCTTTCCTATCCTAGTATCCTCCAGATGCATTGGAATAGAAGTTTTAACTCTCTTGGTAGGAGAGAATTCTCAGTGATGGAGATTAAACTTTAATCACAAATAATTACAGAATCATGATTTTCTTTCTTCAAGATCAGATCACAAAATACTGGAAAGAAAAAAGTTAAAGCTACAGCTATGGAAATGCAAAGTTACTTTTAAAATATTTACAAAAAGCTTACCATTTCGAAAAACTTTATTAAAATCAAATCCCTGGTTTGCTAAAAAATCTATACTTGAGCTCTGGAAGAAAAACAGGAAAACAGATTTATAAATGATTCTACAAATGATTTCAATCTAATAAAATTAATTTTTACCACTAAAAATGCCAATTCATGGTGGGTTATATACATTTTATTCATTTGACAAACCAATACAGTAACAATCTCCCAGATAAAATTCAAACTGCTGGCCTTGAGTAAGGTACAAGGAACTTCCAGGCAATTTACCTTTTCTCCAACATCAGGCTAGAAACCACATCTGTGGGTGACACTGAAGTATGGAGAGTGCAAAGAAAAAAAATACTTCCCTCTGAAGTCACTTCATGTTTATGAAACTTTTCTCAAACTGACAAGATCATTCTGACTTTAACAAAAACATCTTTTTAATAATTTATAATCTAGCTTCTTAACGATATATGAAACATTATGCAGCTTGCAGCACTGCATTTGTGCAAGATTGGTAGTGGAAGATTTTCCTTTGGATTCTCTGTTAGTTTTGAATCAGAAGGGGGAATACCTGACAGACAAACTTGACATCTGGTGATGTTCTGTTCAAAGGTTTGGGGAAAATATAGAAGTTAAACGATTTCATGTTATACCTAAAAGAAAACACAGTTGAAAATCAATTTACAAGTTATCATGCTACACACTTAATTTTAAAAACCAAGAAAAGGACATACTTAGATTCTGTGTGATCGTACTTAAAAGTGCATAGACCAAACTGGAAGAGCAGGAAATCCATGGAATGCTGGGTGGAAATGAACAGAAACTCTAAGCAACCAGTTATTGATCCAGAGAAACTGGGGAGGGGGCGGGTGGGAGGCGCCCAGAGGTTTTACAGCGTTCCCGCCGGGAGCAACTCACCTTCCGTAGCTTCTGGTACCGCTCCTCGGGCGTGTCGAAGCCGTTGGTCAGCGCGCTCACGGACGGCCCGTCGCTGATGCCTGCAAGCAGAGCGAGTCCTGAGGCCTCGGCCGGAGCGAGGGGGCTCGTGGCCCGGGAGGGGGACCCCGGGCGCTCGGGGTGGGGGCGGCTCGGTACCTGAAAACTCCCCGTCGATCGCCAGGAAATCGGCGTCTTCCACGGCCTCGTAGACGGTGCCCAGCGCGCTCTTGAAATCTGCGGACAAAGCGAAGGTCAACCGGGAAGCCGCCCGCGCCCCGCGCCCCGCGCCCCGGCCCGCCACTCACTGCCCCGGGTGATCTCCATCCCGCCTGGCGCCGGGTCACCCCCCCACGGCCGCGCCAGCACTTCCGGAAATAAACGCGGCGACCCGGCGCGCAGATGCGTCACGGGCACGTGACCAGAGAGCGTCGCGTCTCACGCATGCTCAGGAGCGCCCGAGAAGCCGCGGCTGCCCGTCCTTTCGGTGGGACGTCCCACGGGCGGATGGCTTGCCCCGCCCCCCAGCAAGATGGCGGCGAGATTGTTGGTTCGGCTGGTGGACCGGGCGGCCGGGCCTGGCGGGGCCCTTCCGCGCCCGCTGACTCGCCTGGCCTTCCCTGCGTGGCCGAGGCGCCGGATCAGCGGGGCCAGCCCGGTTTTGGTGGAGCTGGACGAGCGCGCGGGTGGGTAGGGCGGGCGGGGGTAAGCGGGGCGGCGGGCCTGCGGCGGCCTCTGACGCGCCCTTCCCCGCAGGCGTGGCGGTGGTGCGGCTGCAGCAGCCGCCAGTGAACGGGCTCAGCCTGGCGCTGCTGACCGAGCTCTGCCTGGCGCTGCAGAAGCTGGAGGACCGCCGGGCCTGCCGCGGCCTCGTCTTCACCTCGGTAGGTCGGGCCGGGCCGGGCCGGGCCGGGCCGGGCGACGGTTGCGGGTGGCCGGCCGGCCGGCCGAGGGAGAGACCCTAGCGCCTTCCCCCCGTAGGCCATCCCCGGGATCTTCTCGGCCGGGCTGGACATCACGGAGATGTGCGGGCGGAGCGAGGAGCGCCTGGGCGAGTTCTGGAGGGCCGTGCAGCAGCTCTGGATCCTCCTCTACGGCAGCCGCCTGGCCACCGTGGCCGCCATCAACGTAAGCCGCCGGGCCGCCCGAGTTGCGGGAAAGGCTGCCGGGCCCGCTGCGCCCCTGACCGGCAGCCATTCTGCTCCCCCCGCCCAGGAAGCGGTTTCCCTCGCTGCTCCGTGTGGGCTGCCTGCAGAGCTCCCGGCTGCCGAGCTCCCCTTCCCCCGGGGGCCTTCCGAGGCACTCGGGCGGGGCGGGGCGGGGGGGGGGCAAGGAATGGTGAAGCAGGGACCCCTCCCCGCCCCCACCGACTCAGCTCTGTTCCTGGCAGGGTTCCAGCCCCGCGGGAGGCTGCCTGGTGGCCTTGTCGTGTGACTACCGGATCATGGCTGAGAATCCCAAGTACAACATTGGCCTGAATGAGACAAGATTGGGCATAGTGGCCCCTTTTTGGTGAGGTGTGGAGGAAGCTGTGCAGACAGTAGGATCTTTCCCGGCTTGTCAACCCTTTCAGGCCAGACCAGCTTCGGTTTGGCTCCAGTAGCTAGTTGGAGGACACTGTCTGAATGTCTCTTTTGCACCCAGGTTCAAGGACTCTTTGCTGAACACTGTTGGCCATAGGGCCACCGAGCGCTCCCTCCAGCTGGGACTCCTGTATTCTCCTCAAGAAGCCCTCAAAATTGGCCTCGTGGATGAGTTGGTGCCTGAAGAGAAGATTCTAGCCAGAGCTGCAGAAATCATGGGCCAGTGGCTGGCCATTCCAGGTGGGACACCCAGGCCCAGTCTCCTGCTTGAGGTCAAGACTCGAGGCCAGCCTACTCCTTGCTTGTGCAAGGAGAACCTAATTGCCTCGGGGAGCCCTCCTCTTCATTACTCTTCCCATCCTTGCGCCTAGATCACGCCCGACAGCTCTCCAAGTCCACCCTACGGAAGCAAACTCTTGACCACCTGCTGATGCATCGGGAGGCTGACATCCAGGACTTTGTGCGCTTTATTTCCAGGGATGCTATTCAGAAGTCTCTCCAGAAGTACATGGAGATGTTGAAACAGAAGAAGGCCTGAAAAGGAGTGGGGGTAGCCTTTCCTCTTGTTGGGGCTTGAGGGAGTTTCCTGGCAGCCTCACGGTTGCCCCATTCTGTCCTTGGGCCTCGGTAGACTGAACGTGTGGTGTCTGACTTTAATGGCCTTTGCCTAATTTGTTGCTGGAATTTGGACTGCAGGGCTCAGCTGGTGGCTGGAGAGGTTAGAAAGGGTTGCAGGGAGGCAGCTAAGCCACCTGGGTCTGCTTAGCTTTTGTCTTTGTAGGAAACAGGCGGAATGGCAGTTTTCAATAAACCCTTACAGTAGAGACTGTTTACGTTGTTGCTGGTGGATGGGGATGCCTCTGGATCTCTTTAAACCATCTTTGCCAGGCGAGCAAGGCTACCATGGCTGCTCTGGCCACCCCACTGCCTGTGCTTCACAGGATTGGAGCTGCTGTGAGGTGTTCCTGGGGTGGGGGCAGGCCACCAATTGGGGCATCTGGTTGTGTGAGTAAAATGGTGTGTGATTTTCTGTTTGACTGGTCTTTTTTCCCCAGTCTGGGGAATCCAGATCTAGAGATTGGTTCTCTAAAGCAGCTTCTCCTTTGGGGATGACTTGTGTGTTCTCAAGAGCTGCTCAAGCTACTTTATTTGGATGGGGATTGCTCTCATCAGTTAGGGGACCTGGGGAAGGGCGGGGGGGGGGGAGTTTGCCTTCCCTGAGCAGTTTGAAGCTTACCAAGTGACTGTTTGCCCTGAGCAGAGATTCCTTTTGAGTTGTGCTGTGTTCTGAATGGATGGCTCTGTCTGTTAAAAAATGGAACTCAATTGTTTTGCTGAGTTAGTATTTTTTTATTACACTGTTTGTCCAAAAGCTGTAGACATAGTTGCACAACCCATCATTACATGAGGAAGGTTAAGCTGAGTGTTACGGTCTCAGAGTTCTCAAAAGACTTTTGCAGCCAAATAAGGATTTGTACTCCAGCCTGTTACAAGGACACACCGCAGTTGTCCCCATTTGGACCCCCTCCTGTGGTATGGAAGGACAAGGTCTGTCCAGTTGGCTGGAGGGAGACCTGGCCTCCTAGCCTTTCTAGCGTCCTCTGCTTGCCTCTGGCTTAGCAGGGGCTGGAAAGGAGAGGGAGGCCCAGCAGAAAAAGGATGGGAAAGATGGACTCAGGCTGAAGCAGTTGTGTCGGAAGTCCAAGCGCATTTCCAGCTCAGAAACTTTGAAGAAGCCGTTCCTTCAGGGTCCCAGTCAACACAAGGCTCAGCAGAAATCCAAGTCACTGGAAATCTAGAGATGACTTGCAAGGCAGGATGTGTGGTGCTGGTGCCTGCCAGAAGCCCTGCACCCCCTTTTCGTCCCACCCTTGTCAGGCCAAGCAGCCTGGCAATTGAGAGCTTCAGGGGGACGTCAGCTCCACTTCCACTGGGAAATGATCACTGACAGCCAGAGCCTGTGATCAGAACAAAGCAGGAGAGTCAGGTACCCCTTGGATAGTATAAGGAGGCTGGCTGGGGCTCGGGGACCGCAGGCAGAGACCTCCTGAGCTTGGCTGCCCAGCTGCTTGGAGACCCTGTCTGGCTCTGAGTGCCCAGGCTGCCCCTGGGAGCAGCCCCGAGGTGGCAGTCACACGCACAAAAGAGACATGGAGCAGAACTGGAGTCACTAGAGGGCTGCTTGGGTGATTCAGCTACACCCAGGGGCTGCTGACTCGGCATCCCTGATTTGAGGGGTCCACATTGGGTGGAAGTGCAAGAAGAGCCTTTGTGATTCTCTCCCCACCCCCCAAAAAGGAGATGGACACCAGGATAGGTGTGATTGCATACTTCAAATCCCTGGCTTCCTTTTATGGGGAATGTTTATTTTCCTCCACAGAAGAGGCAGGGAATGTTTTTAATTAATAGGCCTTAGTTATAGATCGGTATCTTTATCTAGGCCTTAAGTTAGAACGCTAGGCAACTTGAAGAATTATCAGGGCTTCTAGGGTGAAAACTTACCTCTTCTTGGCTCAGCTTGAATGCCCTCTGGAAGTCAAACACTTTAGCGGACTTGGGCACAATCCACTTCCTTAGTTTCGAGCCGCTCACAACAATCCTAAAAGTACAAATATGACGCCAGTGAAGGAGAGCTTTCCTTGGGGGTGCCCCCTTTTGCAAGGAGGTCTCTGGGGAGCCAGGGGGGAGGAGGAGGCGGCAAAAGTCCAGGGACAATTGGGCTCTGATGCCCGGTCGTCCTGGGTACCGGAAAGCTGTTCCCTTCAGCATTTGTGAAGGGCTGCTGCCCCCCTCACCTATCGTAGGCACAGTCGGAGTTGCCCACGGTGGTGTCTGTGTCATCTGAAATGAGCCACTTGAAAACCTCGCTGGTGCGCAGACGGACGGAGCTCCAGTCTTTCTTCCCCACATAGCTGCAATCGGCATTAAAGTCCCCCAGGAACATGATGTTCTGCCAAGCAACCGGTTATGGGAAAGGTATGGAGGTTAGCTTCTCGTGCGTTTCCTGGATCTGCCCAGGTCGGGGCTCTCCCTGCCTCTGCATGGCCAGCTGGTTGCTCTGATTAACTCTCCTCCCGCCCTCTCCTCTCCCAACTCTCCAGTTGCGACAGTAAAGGCTGATGCTACTTTTGCTGCAACACTGACAACACCCAACCTCCTTCCTCCTGACGTCCTCCAGACAGTGACGGTGACTCGCTGCACTTCTGGAGGAGGCCAGTTTGGAGAAAGCAGGTGAGGGGGTTCATCAAAGGCTTCTGCATGGGCCAAAAGGTGTCCTGAAGAATGGCCTCCCTGCCTGCAACTCACACAGCGAGCGGCAGGGCCTCTGCTTACATCAGTCTGCCACCTGTCAATCATCTTCAGATAGACGTCGTAGAGAGCATCGATTTCTGCCACAGCCTCACTTGGAGGGGTATGAAGGGGCACCAGTACCAGCTCGTTCTCTGCAAAAGAACCAAGTCAGTGCTCCAAATGGCACTGGTCCCATGATTATCCCCGGGGAGAACGGGATTGGCAGGTGCACAACAGAATCCGTGCCCTGAAGCCTTTAGGGTGGCTGTGCTGGGAAGGAGCCACACTCACTCTGCGTTCCATCAATTACCTACTGTGCGATCGCACTAAAAGCAGCTTTGCTGATGACATTACATTAACACCACTGACAATGCTGCTATCCTACAAAGCGATCCTGACTATGTGTCAGAATGGTCGCGCATTAGGCAACTCCTAATCTCAACTAATAAATGCTCTGTCCTGCATTGGCAAAAAAAATCAGACCAAATACAAGTTGGATGGAAACGATCTCATAGGCAACCCTCACTTTGTCAAGGACCTAGTACTCATCAAACAATCTAAGCCCGAGCTCATTGTAGCAGCATTGCCAAAAAGGCATTAAGAGTTATTAACCTAATTTTGCGAAGCTGCTTCTCTGACATTGTATTGTTAACTAGGGCAAATCAAACCTTTGCCAGATCAATTCTTGAATACAGCTCATCCACCTGGAACCCACACTGTATATCGGACTAACGCGATTGAGAGGGTCCAGAGGTATTTCATGAGAAGAGTGCTCCACTCCTCACAATAGAATCCCTCATGCCACCAAGCTCGAAATTCTGGGTTTGGACAATGTGGAACTCTGTCGCCTGAGGTCCGATCTAAGCATAGTACATAAAATGGTCTGCAATAACATCTTACCTGTCAACGACTTCTTCAGCTTCAGTCACAATAATACACGGGCAAACAATCGATACAAACTCAAGGTAAACCGCTTCAAACTCGATTGCAGAAAATATGACTTCAGCAACCGAGTGGTCAACACCTGGAAAGCTCTACCTGACTCGGTTGTTACAGCCTCAACCCCTCGCAGCTTCAACCTCAAACTGTCTACCATGGACCTTCCCCCATTCCTAAGAGGTCCTTAAAGAGGCGTGCATAAGCGCACCAGCGTGCCTACTGTCCCTGTCTTACTCTCCCCATCTTCTATATTTACTTCCTTTCTTCATGTTTATGTTTATACTTATGCCTGCTATCTTGTACATGTTTGACAAACAAACAAACAAAAAGCTGCTGCCTTGTGGATCTCTTTTCCTGGCCGTTGTCTTGGACCCTTGGCCTCCTGCCTGTTTCCCCAGAGCATTCCTTCCTTGATCCGATTTGTTCCCTGGCTTGGACTGCAGGAAATGCCCACTCTTAATCTGGTATGAAGCTGGCCCAGCCTTTGGCTTCACTCACTTGAGTCAGAAGCAGCGAACTTCACGATGAACGGAGGCCTGCTGAAGATGCTGTCGGGATTGGGATACTGGTACTGGTCCACAAGAGAGAAGCTCTGTGTCCTGGAAGGGAAGCCAAGGCAGGAGTGGGAAAAGCGGCCGGCTCCCGCAATGACAAACCTTATCAGCTTTCCCTGAATCCCGAATTAAACGATCCTTGATTCACCCGCTTGCTTTCTGAGAAGGGCACCTGCAAGTCCTACCTGTACAGGAAGAGATACATCTCTTTGTAGTTCTCCCGGCCCAGCGACTCACTGATCACGTAGTCGTAAGAGTGCTTGGAGGCCCTGCAAGACAAGAACCAGGGCACGCCAACCCCAGGGTTGTGGTCTGCACAGAGCGACCAAGCAACACCCCGCCTCCATTTCAGGCTGGCCCTTTCAGCACTTCGGGTGTTTTTTCCAAGCCTGGGCAGGGGTCAGGACCTGCCCAGAGTTCCTTCAGTCTAGTCCTTGCTGCGTAAACCAGGTGGGCACCATTTCGCCCCCAGGAGTGCATTTGGCAAGGGAGAAAATCAGTCACAAGCCTCACTCCTCGTCCTGCTGACTCCAACCCCATTCATTACCTGTTGAGTCGCTCCCCCAGTTCCTGGACTGCGCTGAGGTCAGCATCCCTCACCTCTTGCACGAGGACAAGGTCATACCGGGACAGGATCTGAAACGGACGAGCACAGCTTGGGTTTGCATGGCAGGTGCTGGCACAGGAAGGTGGGCAGAAGGGCACCCTAGCTAGATGTGAGCCAGCCGCCGCCACAGGAGGACCTCTGGCAGGGCCCTTCTTCCCAATATACTTTTCAGCACCATTGCCCAAGCAGAGAAGCTCCACTTGGCTTGGATGCCTAGTGGTTACTGACAAGTCACCTTCCTCTGCTTCTGAGCCAGCCTGCCACCTGACCCTGTGGACAGTTACCTGCCCTCACCTTCACAATAATTTCGGAAACACTCTGGTCCAACAGTTTTCTATCTCCAAAACTCCGGATGTTGAAGGCGCAGATTTGCAGGGCCACTGCTGCATGGAGCATCCAGGCCAGCCCAAGGAGGGCAGTTGCTACTTTCATGCTGCTGCCTGAAGCGGGGAAAGAGAAGGGCGTGGACGAGGCGGAGAGTGGCTGCCCGCAATTTGACTTCATGGTCAGCTATGCTGCCAACCGGTGGTGGGGCTGTACTGGCAGCCCCCAAATGGCTCTGTCGCTCTGTCCGTTTTTGTACTCAAGGTGCGTTCCCAGTGCAATCCATGAGATGCAAGAACAGGAGCAATGCTGGGTTCCCTGGGGCTCTTGGGAAGTCAGCCCTGATCTTCCTGAATTTCCTGAGAACGCAGACTGGGAATTTTGCTCGCCTAACCATGTGCAGCTGCCCCCAAATGGAGCACCTAGACAATCCCTGGGGCTCTGCTTTGTGGCCCTGGATCATGGGACCCCTGCCCACCTGCTCTGCTGTCCAGGCGGCATCTCTGGCCTCTTTAGAGATCCAGCAGAGAAGAGCAAAGAAGCCCAGCAGATTTCACTGAATTGGGGCCTGAGGTCATCTGACTTTGTGTACTTATTACTCAATAAATGCCAAACCAACCAGTTGAGTAGCATAGTGAAGGATGCGTGCTGAAGTTGACCGCTCTGCTGCCCTGCCTGGCTTCATTTCCCCCGTTCCTCTGGGGCAGCTGTGCTCTGTTCCTCCCCACCCAGCCCACCCAGGGAAAGCGGCTGGCTGAGCACTTCTTGCTGGCACTGCTTCTCTTCGCTGTCAGCTCCCCTCTTGGCCTTTGGATGGCCTGGAGAGCACCCTAGGGCTGAGCAAGTAGTTAGGGTGGTCAGAGGGTTATTTCCCCCTTCGGTGAGTGTGTTGATTGTTCATGAGAACCAGCCCAGCTGCTGGCTAGCCAAACCGCTCCAAGGTTTTGTCGCTGTGAGCTCCAAAACTCTTGTGCCAATCCAACCAGCAGTGCATTTGCTTGAAGGGACCCCCAAAGAAGAGGGAGCAAGAAATGAGAAATGGCCATTCCCTCCCACAAGGGCAGAGCCAGGGAGCTTCAAAGGCCTCCACTAAGAAGGTGCCTACCTTGAATTGAGTCCAAAGGTGGCTTGGCAGAGCCTCTAGACTCCCTCCGAGCCCTGGCGCATCCGGTTTCTCCCTCAGCTTGAAACTCCGCTGCTTATTAAGGGGAGAAGAGAGATGCCTCCTCCTCCTCCGCCACCCCCCCCACCTGCCCCTTGGCTGCAGTGATGCAAGGGCCCTGCCCTGGCAGGGGTGGAGAGGATGCTCCAACTGCACCCTGGGAAGCCCCAGCAGCTCTTGGCTCATCAAAGCCGCAGAAGTTGTTGCGCAGGGCTTGCTCTTCCTCCCTTCCCACATAAAGCTGTTGCTCAACTCTTGCAGGTCGAACTTGCTAAGCATGGGGCATGGAGCACTTTTACCCGTTGGATTTTAGCTGAAGACTCGCTGCCCCTTGCCCTTAGTGCTGAGTCCATCCTGGGCTTGCCCGGCAACTTCTCAATTATAGAACTGTCACTCAGCTTTTAAAATTGGGTTGAAATGTTCTCCCAGTTTTAGAATGGAATGTGGGAATCAGGCTGAGCCGGAGAATTGCCAAGGGCTGAGCATGCCGTGCAAGAAGCTGGCTGGGGTGGGACCGCAGAGCAACTTGAACCTTGAGCCTTGGAAAGCAAGGGGGGGGGGCATCCTGTGGGTCTGTCCTTGGGGTCAGTGGAGGCAGGAGTGGAGTGTGAATGCCCAGTGGGGATAGGAGGGGCAGAGCCCCTTGCTTACTCTTCCCAGGCAGGGATAAGGGGCCGCATCCGAAGCAGAAAGATGCAGAGTTTGGGGACCAAGGCGGCCGCCCCCCCCCCCCCGCGCTGGTTCCAAAGAGCTGTGCCTGAGGGGCTCCAGGGAACCCTTGGGAGCTCAGCAGGGCCTGCTTGGAGACCTCCAACCAGACAGCGCCTTTGCCTTCACACACGATGCAGCTGCTTTGTGCTTAGTGTCTCACGTGAACCCAGTCATGGTGGGTTGTCCTTGCATTGCAGTAACTCAGCTGTGGTCTCCCATGATGTGCGTGTCCAGCCTTTGTTGCTAAGATGCCCATTTGCCTGACAAGTGGACAAGCCCAGAAGGAGCAGAGTGGATGCTGGCTGGCTGAGGGGATGGTACACCTGACTGGTGAGAGCAGCTGGAAGTGGGCGGCCATCCTTCTCAACTGCTGTGGCTGCTGCGCGTTGCACACCTGGCTGCTCTACAGGGTGCGAGTGGCCTTGGGGAAGAGCCCTTGGCTTGCTGCAAGGCCACATGGTTCACAACCTCTGGACCCAGCATGCGTTGCACCTCCAGTTTGGCCCCTGGGACTGGCCAAAAGCAGCCTGGAGCTTCCCCACCACCTGAGGCATGGTCAAGGACTGGGCTCGGCTTCCTCACGGGGCTGCCAGGGGCGAGGACGTTTGAGGAGCAGCTGGGGCAGCCATGACTGGTGCAGGCAGCCCCTCAGCACAGGGCGTGGAACAGCCCCTTTTGGCAGGCTGCACAGTTCCTGGGCCCACAAGGGGGCTCTGGCTGCAAGGGATGTGCCCTTGACTGCCCTGGGGTGGGGTGGGGTGGCCCGCAGAGGCACCTTTCCAGCAGCTGGGAGCCATTCATGCTCTCCAGGTGCTTATTGGTTCTCTGTGAAAGTTTCTCACCTGGCAGCTTCTGTCACTCATCAAATCCATGAAAGCATTTGAATGCAGCTAATCTTTTTATTATTTAAGCTTCCGTTGTGTCAGAAAGAGAGCCTGCTGAGGTATTGCCCGTGTCCTGGGCTTGGCGAGGGAGCCGTGCTGGGCTCCAAGGGAATCAGAGCGGCTTCTTTGAACTGGCTGTCTGGGCCTGGAGGGCTCAGGTGGATTTCAGGGTCACCTCCACCGGAAAATGATCACTTACAGCCAAGGCCTGCCAAGGGCAAACACACATCAGATCAGGGGCCAAATTTCTTGATCAGGCTCAGCGCTGCTGTGTGAAGGGTAGTCCAAGAATGGGCAGCAGGCTGCAAAGCAAACCTTCCACAACGTGTCTTCAAAACAAGGATTTGGGGTGAACCTTGGAAGAACCTTGGAACTTCCAGCCCTCTTTTGTAGCTGTGGCAGAGCCCGGAGTCGTGACCTCAAACCGCTTCAACTCACAAAAGTGGTTTTTCTCCTGGGGTCAGAGAGGCCCCGGGAGTGTTCCAGGATGGAGGCAGGTTCAGACCACCCCTCCTGACCCCTGCCAGATGTTTCACCCCTCCTCCCTCTTCTCCCCCAGAGGTTGCAAAGGAACCCTCACATCCTTGGAGCTCAACTTCAGGGTCTTCTGGAAGTTGTCCACTTTGGCTGTTGCAGGCAGGATGCTCTCTCTCAGCTTTGAACCCACGGCCACAATCCTGTAGCCAGACACCGTTGGAAAAGAGCACAAGAAGCCCGAGGGCGACCGGAAGCTCAGGGAGAGCTGAAAGCTTTGTGAAGGGAACTGAGGCAAGAGAGATGGTGGTGGGGAAGGAAGTCCTTGCTGGGCTCCTGGCCTTCCCAGGGATGCCTCTGGGGATAAGACTGGTCAGTCCCAGCCGTGGCCAGCTGGCGAGGACTGAAGGCAGCAGCTGCCTGCGTGGGAGGTGCCCGCCATCTCCCCCTCTGCCCCACAAAGAACGGCCCCGCTGCCTCCCACCTGTCGTAGGCACAGATGGTGTTGGTCACCGTGGTGTCTGCCGTGTCTGGGATGAGCCACTGGAAGTCCTTGCTGGAGCGCAGGCGGATGGAGGGCCAGTCCTCCGCCCGGACGTACTTGCAGGCGGCATTGAAGTCTCCCAGGAGGAGGGCATCCTGCCAGGGGAAAGAGTAGGATGGGTCTGCCTGGCAACTGTTCCACCAGCCCACAGCTCTCCACCTTTGTGTTGAATGGGGAGGGGAGGGGCCCTGGAGCCCCCCAAGGGAGGCGCTTACCGTGGTCCCCCACCTGTCTTTCACATCCTGGTAGACGTCGTAGAGAGAGTCAATCTCGGTCACTGCGGCTTCAGGAGCTGCGTGCAGGGGCACCAGGACCAGTTCTTTCACCACTGGGGGGTGGGGGTGGGTGGCAAACAGAGAAGGTGGCTTGCAGAAGAGACAACTCCCCCCCCCCCCCAGCCAAAATGCTTCCCTTTCCCGGGTGCTTCCTGTGGCCTTCTGGGTGGGCTGCCCCTCCCCCAGAAGTTGCTTGGCCTGCACTGAACCGTCCCAAGACGCTGGCCAGCCACAGCAGGCTTGCCAAGCTTACAGGCCACCTGAGAAGCCCAGCAGGGCTGCTCACCTGATTGAGGGACAGCAAATTTGACAATGAAGGGCTCCCTGCTGAAGGTGTCGTTGCCACAGGGCTCACAGCCGTCTTGGTAATAGTAGCTCTTCACTGGGGAGACCCTGCCCTGCCTGGACCAAGAGAATCAGCCGCCACTAGTGTCTCCCCCTCGGCGGCTCGTCCTCCCCCACTGCTAAAGATCAGACCCTCGAAGCTGGAGGGGCAGATGGAGAAGGGCGGGAAGGGAGAGGAGCAGAGGGACAGCGGGCATTCATTTTTATTGATCTCTCATCTTTCCAACAAGGATGCCCGAGGGCATTAAGAACGAAGCAGAAAAACAATTGCTCTATGCAAAAGAAAGCAACAACAGCAAAGGACTTCAAAGCCTGGTTGTGTGTGTGTGTGTGAGAGAGAGAGAGAGAGAGAGAGAGAGAGAGAGAGAAACGCAGAGAACAGTGAACAAAAGGAGACTTGCTGAGATCCAGAAACTGACTGGCAGCAGAAGAGGAGGCAACAATCCTCAGGATCTCTTTGGCAGCTGCCCACCAGATGTTTCCGCCTGGGCCCTACCTGTAAATGAAGAGGTACTGCTCCTTATAGCTGTTGCGCCCCAGGGGATTGCTGATCAGGTAGTCAAAGGGATCTGGCGAGGCCCTGGTGAAGAAAGATGCGGGGGGGGGGGGGGGGGGGCATCCCCCCTAGGCCTGCTGAATTCTGACTTGCTTTTCCCCAGAGGGAAAATCCACCCACCAGGAAAAAGTGTTTGCTAGGACTTTGCCCTCCTTCCCTGGGCTTATGCTGGAGTGTGCGGGGTGGGGGCTCCACGCTCTGCTTTGCCTCCAAAAGGGGCTTTGTCCCCCTCCGCAGCCATGAAGCTCACCCATTGACCAGTTGCATGAGCTTCTTGACGGCACTCAGGTCAGCGTCTCGGACTTCCTGGATCAGGACAAGGTCGTAGGCAGTCAGTATCTGGAGGGACAAAGCAGAGGAACCTGTCTGTCCGCAGCAACTGAGGGCAGGCAGCTCTGGGTCAGCAGGGCGAGAGACGCCATGCAGGCGAGCTCTGAGGCAGCTGGGACTCAGCCCAAGGCACGCGGTTCCTGGCTGCCAGAGGAGAGTCGCCCCAGGGCAGCCGGAGGGACTCACTCTGGCAATGAAGCTGGAGATGGTCTGGTTGGAGACCTTTCTATCCCCCAAAGCCCTGATGTTGAAAGCGCCAATTCTCAGGGAGAGGGTGAGCTGCGAGAGGGAAGCCGCCCCAAGGAGCGCCAGCAGGAGGGTCTTCATGGCCTCGTCCTGTAGAAGAGAAGGGAGCAAGGAGGGCGCCACACTGGCGCCCCCAGGAGGCAGCTGGGTCCTGCACTCTCGGCCCTTCCACTTCAGGGCAACCAAGAAGCATTTCTGGAGCGTTGATAGGACATGATCCAAACAGGGTGAAAAAGAAAGTTGGCCTGGTGCAACACTTGTAGTGGCATGAAGCTCTGCAGCAGGGGCGTTCGGCCATCAGTCAAATGCAAAGGGGATTCACCTGTAAACTTACAACAGGGGCATGATCTGCCACACTGCATGACGTCCGGTATCCACAAATGCCACAAAATCTTTGCCAATAGCAGGAGGTGGCACTTCACCAGAATTTGGAAACTTACATGTGAGGCAGGGGAGGGCACTTCACCATCCCTGGGGAAAGTCAGAGGAGAATTTGGAAGGCTTTCGCTTGATTAGCTGGCAGAGTTGGATGTCCTGGGGCTTGGCGGTTACAAGGATCTCAGCCAGATCTCAGCCAGGCAGTGAATGAGCTAAAAGCAACCTGGGAAATGAACATTTCCCTCCCCCGCCACAAGGAGGATTTTGGACAGTCTATTGTCCTGTGGCTGGACTTTCTTAATGCAGCACTGTTGCGTCCAGTTGTTAGGGCCGGTTTTCCTGGCAGAAAGGCAGCCAGGGGAAGGCATGGAAAGGCATGCCAGAAATGGGGTCAAAAGCACCAATGAGAGGCACCAAAGGCCAAACTCACCCTCTCTTGGTTTTTAGGCAAGCACCTTCACCATTACCTCCAACTGGCTCTCTAGGTGGGCTCAGGAGGCAGGTGGTACCTAAGTGGGAGCATCCTGCTTCCTCTGTCCAGCCAAATTCTGAGGATCAGAAAGATCTCGCCCAGTGCCGGTGTCCCTGATGCTCTGGGTCTGCCAAAGGAGAGCTTCGAAATCTGTTCCAGGAGGGACAGAGCTGCTCCTTACCTGCACTGCTCCAGTCCCGCTAGTGGGGTAGCAGATTTCCCAGCTCCCTTAAATAGGCTGGACCCCTGGCCTTGGCAGCTGATTATTCTGTTTCTTATCTGAGCAGGTGTTGGCATTGGGCATGTTCCTTCTTGACCACGTCAGCAGTGATATGGTGCAAGGCGGACGGGCAGGGCACCCAGGCCGTTGCTTGCAACGCCAACCACTTTGACAGATGCCCAAGGGCCGCGTGGAAGACCTGGGCAAAGGTGGCAGGACACAAAGAGGGCACGACGGGGCGGCTGCGTCGGGTCATGGGGGTTGGTGTCCTTTCACGAGCCGTGGAGAAAGGCCGGCCTGAAGAGGAGGAAGGGGCGCCTTCTGCCAGGGCAGGACGGAGGAACTGAGGACGGGCGCTGCGCTGCCCACCTGAAGAGGGACAGCCTCGCAAGGAGCAACTCGAGCCGGGCCTCTTCTGCCCTCCTGGCCCGCCATGCCCCGTCCTCCGGATCAAGGCCTCGGGGCGCACCTGGCCTCGGCGGGCCTTGAAGCGCACCTGCCGGCTTCTCAGCTCCAGGGCCAAGCCGGCCAGCGTGGCAGCATCCCCGGGGGGCGGGTCCCCGGCAGGGACAAGAAGGCGGGGGGGGGGCGCGGCGGCGCCGGGCCGGCCCGCCCCCCCCCCCGCGCCCCCCTCCCCGCTCAACCACGCAGCCGGGCGAGGCACGTGAGCGGGCGGCGAACGGCGGCGCTGCCGGCAGGGGGCGCTGCGGAGCGCCGCCCTTTTTGGCCCGGCCGGGCCTCCGTCGCCCGACGGAGCGCGGCGGCGGCGGCGGCGAGATCGGCCATGAGCGAGGTTCGGCACGCGCTGCTCCGCCGGGACGCGCTGAGCGCCGCCAGGGAGGCGCTCTACCACCTGGACGTGCTGGTCAGCGGGCAGCTGCAGAGCGCGGCGGCGCTTCCAGCCGGGGACGCGGGCCCGGTGGAGCTGCTGGAGGAGTTCGTCTTCCAGGCGCTGCAGGAGCGCGGCGGGGCGCAGCCCAAGGTGGGCGGGCGGGCCGGCGGGCGGGCGGGCGAGGGGCTCAGTGGGGAGCTGCGCGCCTGACGCCCCGCTGTGCCCGCAGAGGCTGACGGCGGTGCAGGAGCTGCAGCTGCTGGAGACCCTCTGCGGCTACTTCCAGGAGCAGAGCAAGGAGGCGGTGCGGCAGGTGGTCTTCTCGGCGCTCTTCGCCCCGCAGGGCAACAAGGCGGACGAGAGCCGCATGGCGCTGCTGGGCAAGCTGGTCTCCGTGGCCGTGGCCGTCTGCCGGGTGCCCGTGCTCGAGTGCGTGGCCTCCTGGCTGCAGGTGCGCCCCCGGGAGGCGGGAGGCGGCAGGGAAGGGCGGGCGTGCAGCCCAGCCGGCCTCACCCTGACCCTGGCCTGGCCCCGCTCTTGCAGCGCACCCCGGCCGTCTACTGCGTGAAGCTGGCCCGGGCGCTGGTGGACGACTATTGCAGCCTGGGACCCGGCTCTGGCCAGACCCTCCAGCACATCTTCAGCGCTAGCCCTCGATTCTGCTGCCAGTTCATCACTGCCGTGGCCATGCTCTACGACCTGTCCTCAGGTACCGTCTTCTCTGCTGGAGAGGCTGCTTGCTCACATTCAGCCATCCTGTATGCGCTAGGGGTCCTTGCTGCCAGAGTCCCAGCTGGTCCTAATGCACTCGCCTTGCTGGGATGTTGTATTTGGCTGTACAAAGGCCTGCAGAATCCCGGGCAGGGCCGCCCATGACCCAAGGGCTCCTTCCGGGGATGCCAATTGCTGCAATGAGTGCTCGTGTGCACCCACCCTCTGGGTAGGTACTTAGAGGTGGCTGAGTATCGGTTCTTCTGGCCTATCAAATGCCAGTTGTATGAGGGTTTGTATTCCTTTTGTTTCACTAACACTAACATTCAGTCTTCATTCACCTTTCTGCATTATTAGCTGCCTTGGGTGTTTCACGGAGAGATGGTACACAGAAGATCTCGCTGGTTGTAGCAAATAAATGTGACCATTGTTGAAATGCTGTGACAGACAATGGCAGAGGCGGCATCTGGAAGGAAGAGGAAGTTATGTCCAGTTCTAGACTATGTAAACACAAACTGTTCTAGAACTGAGGTCCACTTTGGTTTAAGAGTTCAGATACTGGCCTAGAGACCAGGAGATGGGGAGTTCTAGGCCTCCCTGGGGCATGAAAGCCACCTGGGTGACTTTGGGCCAGTCACTGTCTCAGCCCAACCCACCTCACACGGTTGTGGTTGTGTGGAAAATAGAAGGAAGAAGCATTGGTTATGTTTACCGCCTTGAGTTACTTATAAAACAAATAACAGTAAGATTTTAAAAATTCAAATCTATTTTCTAGCCAAGAGTCCCAGCCACAGGTTGATCCTTCTCACCAACATTTTACCACCCTTTTCCAGATGACCTCATCCCCTCCCCTGATTTGCTGGAGATGGTCGTCTCTTGGATTTTTGAAGACCCCCGGTTGATCCTGATCACCTTTCTGAACACACCTATTGTTACAAGCCCGCCCATTGGCTTTCTGGAGCTTACTCCACTCTGTGGCCTGATCTGCTGGTGCGTGAAAGCCCCCTTGGCTTACAAGAGACAAAAGCCGCCTCCCTCCAATGGGGCTTTTGGCGGGAAGATGGATTTGCTGGACAGCTTTGACAGGGACTGCCACCTGCTGTATTCCAAGCTGCACCTCAGCATCCTTCAGGTGCTGATGCTGCTTCAGGGGCACCTGACCGAGAAGAACCTGTATGGACGCCTTGGGCTGGTGACTGGGGAGCAAATGGCTTCCCTGGTGGAGGACGTGCGCCTTCTTTCTGACAAGCTGAACCCTCTCCATGCAGCCAAGGAGATCGAGCTGGCATTGGACCGGCTGGCCCAGGTCATGCAAGTGGCCATGGCCTCTGGAGTGTTACTTTGGACAAGAGGTAAGTATTTTGCGAATGGTCAACCTGAGGGCATGTTTTTGAGCAAAGGAAAGGGGGGGACAATATGGAACAACTCTATTTGCAGATCTGCTCCTTCTAATTTCCCTTATGCTCCTGCAGCCTTCTGGGGTCATCTGGGGCAGTCTTGGATGGGGCAGTTGTAATAAAGCAGATGGAGCACGTTGGTTTTTACCCCTTATTCTGATTACTGTGTCCTCTGTTTTCAGAGAATCTAAGGACAGTGTGCTCTGGGTTGCCACATAACAAGTAAGGAAGTGTGCCATACTTCATGGAAGCAGGGCAGAGGGGTGATGCTAACCTATTCACCACTGAGGCATGTCTCTTCTCCTTCCGCAGCTTGCTCCAGCTGGTGATTTCGGGTCCAGTCCAACCGTCAGCCCATGCTGCTCTGCCCCCAGGATTTTATCCCCCTATCCATACCCCTCCGCTTGGATACCCTGCCCACGCCGCTCATCCTGTGCAGGCCTTCATGCCAGGCATAGCATTTCCATACCGGCCCATTCGCTGAAGGCTCGGCTCCATCACTTCGTCTTTTTCATGCCTGGGGGGGAGGGGGGATTTCTATATTTATTAGAAAACAGGTCTTAAAAGAAAGAGATTGTCTAATTGGAAGAGAGAACTGATGGTGCTGGACTTTAACAAGGGGGAATTAACACCGATGCAGGCATAATGGATCGACCATAAGATGTACAGTTCCAGCTTTTGAATGAGCAAGAGCCTTTTTGGTCCTATTGTTGACTTGGTATGATGTTTACAACTATAGAGGAAGCTAGCAGATTGTGGTTTGTTTGTTTTTTACCAATAATGTTTTTGGGTAACTTTTCTTTTCCTGTCCCCCAAACAAAAGGAGTGGATAGTTATGTAAAAATGGCAAAAGAATAGCTAAATCACATTTTGTAAGCTGTTTTGGTGAATCTTTTTATGTGAAAAACCTGAATGCATTTTTAAAACAACAGATTTCTGCTTTAAAACTCGTGGTCTCTAGCATTTTCTATACAAGGAGTTGGATAGTAAATCCAAATTTGATAAAAGAAAATGTCCACTGAAATATCTTTTTAGTTAGCTGACAAATTATGATTAGGAATGTTTTATGATAAGCAGAGGCCCACTTGGAAGAGTTTACATTCTGTAGCAAAGATCCCTCCCTTTAAAAGTGTATGACATCTTCAAGAGATGACTTTTGTCTTAAATGCATTTCATGGTTAAGGAGAAGATGCATTACTGGACTTGAGACGTCAGTATTCCTGCTTGGTGGACCCTTGAAGTTTCACAGAAATCATAATTGTTGTTGATAACTTGTTTTAAAGGCCAGATTACTTCTTGACTTAAACCGCGATGCTCTTTCATTCTTTGAAATCGGGATGCACAACTTATATATTCATCAAAGTGGAAGGACTTGGCTTTGCAGCAGAGAAGAGCAGGTGTTTTGCTCAAATTGCACTTGGGAAGCAGCCTTCTGGTCCGACCCACGAATGATTCCCACAGAAGTTCCACAGGGTCAAAACTGACTTCTCTTTCGAGATGCAACACAGTTTAGAGTGACCTGTTTCGCAGCAATTCTTTGTTAGGGCTGCTTCTGATACACCGACAGCTGCGCCCCAATTTATTCCTTGGCTTTTGTTCAGAGCCGTCAGATTAGGAATTCCAGCGTTTCTCCGCCGATGAGCGGAGCTCAACCGCACTCCTGGGCTTCCGTCTCTGCCCTGCGGAGAGAGAACGACGCCGATGGAGCTTCCATGGCCAGGAGCAGCCCCGAGGCGGGCTGCCGGTTGCGTTCTCCGTGGGAGAAGGGCCCAGGAGAAGGCCGCAGCCGGTAGACTGCTTTTGGGCGAGGAGGCTCGCTCGGGCAAAGCGGCGCTCCGGGTGGAGGAACTGCGCCTGCGCCAACTCGCTTCCTCAGGTCACACCAGTCAGGTGGCACTGCGGCGGCCAATGGGGCGGCGCCTTATTGCGGGGTGCGCTGCCGCCGCCGCCGCCGCCTCTGGTCCGGGATGCAGTGAGCGAGGAGCTGGGGCAGCCGCCGCCCCTTCTCAGGTGAGCGAGGGCCGGCGCTTCTCGCGGGGTCAGGGCCGCGGCTGTCGGGCTTTGCCGGGGGGCTCTCCCGGGGACCGGGCGAAGGCCGCGCTCGCTCCGCTCACCGCCCGGGAAGCGCGACTCGCCCGCCGGATTCCCGCAGCCGCTGGCCTTCCAGGGGTCCCGGCGGCCCTGCTGGACGGGTGTGGACCGGAGGCTCCCCGGCCGCCCCTCTTCGCCGCCCAGGGCAAAAGGTGCCCCGCCGCCCCAAAGTTCCGAGCGAGCTCCCGGCCGGGATGGGCGAGGAGAAGAACGAACGGCGCCTCCGGAAGCTCTCGAGTGGCCGAGAAGAAGCGGCGCAGGAGGCTCCTCGCCTCGGGGCCGAAGAACTCCGCCGCAAAAAGGCGGCTCGGCTTTCCAGGAGCAGCCACGGCCTCCAGCGTTATTGAGCGAAGCCGCTTGACCCGCTTGCTGGGCTGCTTCGCGTCAGTCGGGAAGGCCGCCCCGCTGCGCTGTTAAAGGAAAGCAGCTCCCGGGAAACTTGCTGGGAAATACGGGCTTAAGACGGGCAGCTTTGTTGCCTAATTGGGGCGGGTGGGGGGAGGGGCGCGGGATGGAGGACTTGACTGACTTCATAAGGAAGTTTGGATTCCGTTGTGTTGTCGGGGCGTAGGCGCTTACGTGTAAATAGGTCAACCTTAAATCCTCCATGCGTTGAATATCTAGAGATGTTCTGGGAAGAATCAAGATGAGCAGTTTTGCCGTGTTCCTTTCCATGCATCTGTCCAATTGACCGCAATGTATTTCTGACCTCATGTATTTTTAATTTCTCTCCTTCCTGACAGGCAAACGTCTGTATCGCTGTGGGTGTATACGGTTATTTATAGTGCTTTATGCAATAGCAACACAACTATTATCTAGATCCCTGGCTGAGGTTTAATTTTATCATGTAACTAATGTGCCTTTTTGGCATTTTTGTTTAAGAGTAAAGTACGGGTATCAATTTACCATGTCATGTAACATATGTACTCTTGCTCTCTTGCACTTGGTCAGTCAGCTTAGCATTTTGCTAAGCATTGTTTTAACCATGCCTACTCAGCCTGTTCAGGCCTTGCTGGCTTGATATTTATCAGTAATTTTCTGTGGGAAAAGGATTGTAGCTCAAAAGAAGCAGTAGATAAATTGCTTGAGCAGATAACAACAGACTTAGGGGCTTTGGAAACTGGACTCCCGCAATTTTAGAACCTCTGGATTTGGGCTAGGGCTGATGAACAGGAACTGTTGCAGCAAAACTCTTGGCCCCACCAACTGCATCTCTTTTCTTTGCAGGTGTGAATGACAGAGGAGGTGCCTCCGACCGCACTCAGCGAAATATACCTTCGCCTTTTGTGTCATGATGACATAGACACGGTCAAACAGCTCTGTGGTGATTGGTTCCCCATTGAGTATGTTGCATTTGTCTGCCTGTAGCCACTTGCTAGGCCAGAATGAAATCTGCCCTTGAACTGTGTAAAAGGGAGTATAGAACTGGGTTTCCACTTAAACACTTGACAACTTGGAAGTGATAATATTTTCATGAATGAAATTATCATCTCGTCCAATTCCCTACCCAGCAATAAGGCCATTCAATCTATTCTTGCCTGGATATTATTGTCTTGCTGGGAGCCTGTCATGAGCACAGAACAGTTGGGGAGGAGGCCCATGTGTTTTTGGAGGGTTTCTAGTGCCAGTGAAACTGCAGGCAGAATTGTAGGAGTCACTGACTTGGAAACATTGCATCTTCTGATAAGATAAAATTGGAACTTGCGTGATATATTTAGTAAATGTTACTAAAATTCAGTATTTTAAGAATTTAAAATATTAAAATGAATTCTATAAATTTCTCAGAAATTTTCCTAGTAAACAAAAGTATTTGATGGGAATTACATAATTAGTGCAAAGATGGTCTGTATTATGTTTAATGTCCAACATTTTCATTTTATTGGGTTGCTGTGGTTTGAAACAGATATCCCTGTATATGTGACAATTGTTGGTTCCTTCCTTTTACTACTCTGCTGTTTTCCCACAGATATCCTGACTCGTGGTATCAGGACATCACTTCCAACCAAAAGTTTTTTTCCCTGGCTGCGACTTACCGTGGCACCATTGTGGGCATGATAGTTGCTGAGATCAAGAGTCGAGCCAAAGTGCACAAAGAGGTAAAATGCTGAGGCTCTGCCCTGCACAGCCTTTGCTTTTTTGGGCCTTTGCACCATTCTATCTCCCAACCAAATTGTTCTTTTGCAACTCCCTGATCTTCAGGCTTTTATGGGGAAGCTTTAAAAGGGGGCAGATTGCATCAGTAACAGAGACTTGGGGTGGACTTCAAGGTCTCCTCTTCCAACTATCCTCTTGATAATTGTTGGGAACCACCTGTTTCCTTTCCTCTTTTTTTTAACCCTTTGAGCATAAGGGGAGATTTGCCCATGCGCCCGAAACCCTCCTTTGCTGCCTTCCTGTCCAAACCATTCCCAGATGTTCAGTAGACATTGAGCATGCTTGAAAAAGAGGCTTGGTACATCTGTATCCTCACTGTGTCTTTCTTGAGTTTCTCTCTAGGATGGTGATATTTTAGCTTCTGGTTTTCCAGTTGATACTCAGGTTGCTTACATTCTAAGCCTAGGAGTGGTGAAAGAATTTCGAAAGCATGGCATAGGTAACCATGTTTTTAATATTTGTATTGTTTGCAAGTATTTAAATGGTATAGAAAAACTGGCTTCATGCATGTGTCAGGAGAGCAAGAGCTACATTGTTATTATATACACGGTACTTTTTAAAATGCAGATCTTAATTGTCTGACCCTAGTCTGTAATTGTAAGTGTCCCCTATCCTGGCAAGACCTTGTCCTCTGTGGATTCCCTGGTATGAAAGAGGATGGCCTGGGAGCGGAGAAGGAGTGTTCAGCAATTCCTGCTCCAGAATAAAGAGCCAATTATCTGTGAATTGATCAGTTTAAACAATAGAATGAATGGCAGTAGGTCCTTTCTAACACGGCTGCTGGTCTGGTGGCAGGTTCTCTTCTGTTGGAAAACCTGAAAGATCACATTTCGACCACTGCCCAGGATCACTGCAAGGCCATTTACCTACATGTCCTGACCACCAACAACACGGCAATACATTTCTATGAAAACAGAGACTTTAAGCAGCATCATTACTTGCCCTACTACTATTCCATCAGAGGGGTCCTCAAAGATGGCTTCACTTACGTCCTCTACATCAATGGGGGACACCCACCGTGGACCATTTTATATCCTTTGCTAATCATCTGGCTGCTCCTTGGCTGGTCTGTGAGTTTTGAGAAATGACCTCCTGGATCTGGGTGAGGCTCATTCTTTTACAGGGACATGGTACTCAAATCAAGAAGTCTGGGTTGGGACACTTTGCTGTGGGGCTCGTGGGTAACTGTGGGCCCACGTGATTCCCTCTGGGCTGCTGCTCCTGGCTTTTAGCAGCTCTCCTGGCCTGGTGGGTTCCTTAACAGCAGGGCACTGACTACCTTCAGCACATCGGCTCGACTTTGGCCAATCTGAGCCCCTGCACAATTCCCCAACGGATTTATCGCCAAGCCCAGAACATCCTCTGCAACCTTTTGCCCTGGTCGGGCATTTCAGCCAAGAGCGGCATTGAATATAGCCGGACCATGTGACCCGAAGGTAGGCAACCACCCAGCCCGCCCATTGCCTTGTTCTGTGGTCTTGGTGGATCAGGACATACAGGGCTGATGACCCATCATTGCCATGTTTCTCTTTTCCAAAAGCCTTCTAGCCCTTCTCTCTCGTGGGCAACGTAAGGGAAAAGTAATCCCAGTAATACGTTCAACTGGGGCGAGGAGGGAGAGATGTGCGTGTCCATGCAACTGAGCTCCTGCCTGGCTCAGGCCAACAATTTGGCTGTGTTCCTGGAAGGGTTGCCCTCCACGACCTTTGCTAGTTAATTCATCAACCATCTGTGTCATAAAACACTCCCAGGTTGGAGCACGCAGGGGGGTCTCTCTGTTCCTGTGGAGTTATTTGGGCTGAGCTCACTGATGGGCCCACATTGTGGTTCTCTTCTAGGGAGTCCTCTGCACAGCTGACATGGCTCCAGCCCTCAACCGTTTGTGAACTTGACAGAATTCCTGCTGCTGCTGCTGCTGCTGCTGCTTTCCCCTCTTTAGTCCAGAAGCAGAAGGAAAACAGGCAGTTCTGCTGCTCCGGCACGTCAGGGCGATGGCCTGGCTGCTCTACCCCCAACCAGCCTCTCTGCAGTGGGGTGATACTTGGCACAAGGAGCACCGTAGAACCGAGCGGACTGTTGGCAGCTGAGGCCTCCTCCCAGGTGGTGGTTGCTCGGCATCTCCGCGTCCCTCAGGGATGCCTCTCTTGGCTGAGCAGTTCTTGCCCAGGGGAGCCTTTGGCTCTTTCAGGCTGAAATGTCTATGTGCCGAAGGACAGACACACCCTCTGTATCTTGCTTTCTGCTAGTCTGAACTTGGCCTTAAAGTGTGGACTGGAAGTAGGGAAAGATGCTGCCCTGCTCTCCCTCCCTCTGCCTTGGGCCCCAGAGGGCAGCTGCAGTGGAGCCCCTCTCCTTCCTGGCAGAAGCAAGAGGCTTGAACACTCCTCGCAAAATGGGCACGTCATCGTAAGCTCTTTCGGCCTGCTGGCCTCTGTTGGGCCAGCTGTGGTTTGCACAGGTGATTCCCTATCCTCGGTGTAAGCTCTTGGGACAAAGGGCCAGGTGTTCAGCCTTGCAGGTCATTTCCGGCCCCTCAATAGCAGTGGGAAAACATGGCTTCCCCTCTCCTGGACGAGCTCCAGCTGTCTTAAAGGCCAACAGTGCTGACCCTTCTCGAAAGGTGCTGTGAGGAGCCTCTCCTCCCCCTCCTGCACCTGCAGCATAGATAAGTAGCATCACCTCCCAAGACCTGCCCAATTGATGCTCCTGAAGGAAGATGTGCTCCTGGTCACCCCTTTCTGCAAACACTTGAGAAAGCAGCAGGCTTCCACCTTTAGTTCTCGGCGCTTTTTTTTGTGGTAGGAAGAGCCTGGGAAGCCCCGATGAAGGTCCACACTCCCTTGCCTGCCCTGGGACAGTTGCCTTTCCAGGAGCTCCATCCTCCAATATTGGCTGCGTTTTCACACTTTGGCTCTTTGGCTGGCACTCCAAGTGGAAACCTTCCTCGAACCTGGGGAGTTTAGGCAGATTGTGTGTGCGTGTGTGTTTGTGTCTGGGTGGTGGTGGGGACACTGAATTAGGAAAAGGGCTTTGAAAAAGAGACTGGGGGAGGGGACTTGCAGGCCTCTCAGATTTTGCCCATCTTGCTGGCTGCACCGAGCAGCAAGATGCCCTGCAGAGGTGCTGCCCTTTGCTCCCAGCAGGCCTTGGGAAGAGGGCAAATCAGCCTACGAGACTCTACCAGTGCCTCAGGCAGAGGTTGCCCTCCTTTGGGGACCCCCTCAGCTTCCTGATGGCACCATCTGTGGTAAAAGGGAAGTCCGAAGGGCCGAGGGTCAATCCTGGGGACAAGCGACACCATCCTGATGTAATGAACACCCTTCAGAATTTGCTCAGTGGTGAGGCCACATCACAATGCCAGCAATGACGTGGCTTGTGCCAGAGACCTGTGGCATCTCTCGTCTTCCAAGTGGAAGGACCATTTAAAGGCCAGGCCCAGCGTAGCATCTTCCTGAAAGGTTTTGTGCTTTCAAACCACCTCTTGCTTGAAAATGACGGTGCAGTTTCATCTGTGTTTCAGTTTATGGTTTCTGAATAGTGCATCTCCATCGTTCCTGTATGCCTGCCTGTTGTGTAAGCAAATTCTCCCCTTCCTCCCTCAAAAGGCATTTGTATTGGGCCGTCTCCTTATTTATTGAACAGCACGTCAGCCAGTCATTTTAAATGTCTTGGATTAAAAGGGTTTGTTTTGTGGGTGATTCTGCAGTGTTGTCCTTAAACCCGGTGGGTGTGCACTGGGAACAAATGTGGAGCTTCATGGATGTACGGAGCGAGACCAAGGTTTGGACGACCTTCCATTTTTTCACAGAACTATATCCAGCTAGGACTCCTCCTTTCAGAAATGTTTACAGGGAGTGGAAACCTGTCCTTAAATAGCAGGCTGTTGATTCCAGGAGATGCAGCTGGAAAGGCCCTGACAGACTGCTGAGCCCTCAGAAGTAGTGAAATTAGGGTGAAAACTTCGGCTGTTAAGGAGGTGCTGAATTTTGCTGAGGGTGTGAATTGAATGGCACTGAGAGGTGATGCCATGTAGAAAATGTGGATTGATTCACCCGCAGCATTCTGCTCTAGAGAGCAGGATTTGGAGGACAGAACAGGGCAACCCTCCCCAGCACTTGGCGAAGCCAGAGTTTTAGTCTTGCTGTTTGCCAGAGGGATGGTTGGGTGGAAGTGGCACAGGATTATGGTTACTGGAGTCTGACACTTCCCCTTAGGGCTAAGTGAGACTCATGGTCCCTGATCAGCCTCTGCCTTCTACGGAGCATGAAATTCCCAGCTTTTTCTAAATCTGGCCTTCGCCCGTTAAGATTGTTAGTAATGGAACATAGCATTTTTGCCCAAAATGCTTTTAGCGTTGCTTTCAGTTTACTGGGCAACCTAGGAAAGCTTAGCCACCGCCCAGTATAAACACAAAACCGCCTCGGCAGTTCAGTTGCCAAAATTTCTTACTTTCAGGAAGGCCCAGAACCAGGTGGTGTCCACAGCCCCCACCAATGATCAGCCTCAAAGGCAGGCCAAGGCATTTCCCCCCCCCCTCCAACACCAGGCACAACCTCATGCTGTCTGGTCACCCTTACAATAATAGTGGTATTAGAATTTATACTTCTGGTTTCCTGGTCTGGATTATCTCAAACAGCTGACAAACCAACCCCTCCGTTCCTTTGCTTCAAATGATGAGCAGCACCAGAAAGTGACTGACACCAAAAGAAGGTTTATTACTATAAATATAGGAACACACCTCCTAGGTGTGGAAAGAAGACAGGCACTAGAAGAGACTTGCGGGAGGGAGGCGGAAAGGGCAGCGGGGAGTGGCTGGCAGCAGAATAAGGGGCCTCCTCCTGCACAAGTCCTGAGGCCTGGAGGGGGAG